CCCTCCCCCCGTCTCATGGCACATTAATTTGCGCTCCGCCGGCGGCTGCAAAGTTCACTCTTTTTCAGACGTGCCATGATGCTGGTATCAGCAAGATGTGCGTAAAGATGCGTCCAATAGCAGTTATTAAAGGCTGATGAATGCTGTGCTGGGAGTGGGCGAAAGAGACGCGACACTAACGAACTTAAAGTGTTTTTTGGGGGACGTAATTGAAATTTATTTGGTCAATCTTTGATAATGGCTTCCAAGATTGTTTCTGTCCATGCTCGTCAAATCCTTGACTCCAGAGGCAACCCTACCGTGGAGGTCGACCTGTCCACTGAGCAGGGCTGTTTCAGAGCTGCCGTGCCCTCCGGTGCCTCAACCGGTATCTATGAGGCTCTCGAACTCCGGGATGGCGACAAGACCACCTACCTCGGCAAGGGTGTATTGAAGGCCATTAGTAACGTCAACACTATCATCGCTCCCGCTCTTGTGGGTAAGGACGTCACTGACCAGGCAGGCTTGGACAAGCTCATGGTAGAGACGCTCGATGGCACTCAGAACGAGTGGGGCTGGTGCAAACAGAAGCTCGGCGCCAATGCCATCTTGGCCTGCTCCATGGCCATTGCCAGAGCTGGGGCCGCGGCCAACAAGATGCCCCTGTACAAGTACGTCGCTAAGCTAGCGGGCAAGGATACCGAGAAGTTCGTTCTCCCCGTCCCCGCCATGAACGTTATCAACGGAGGCTCTCATGCCGGAAACAAGCTTGCCATGCAGGAGTTCATGATCCTCCCCGTCGGAGCCACCTCGTTCTCTCAGGCTATTCAGATGGGGGCTGAGGTCTACCACAACCTGAAGAGCATCATCAAGAAGCAGTACGGCATGGACGCCACCAACGTCGGTGACGAGGGCGGCTTTGCTCCTTCCATCCAGGACAACTTCGAGGCCCTGAACCTCCTCGTTGAGGCCATCAAGGCCGCGGGCCACGACGGGAAGATTAAGATTGGCACTGATATTGCCGCTTCCGAGTTCTTCAAGGAGGGTGGTTTGTACGACTTGGACTTCAAGAACAAGGATTCCGACAAATCGAAGTGGCTGAAGGGCGAGGAGCTGGTTAAGGTGTACCTGGAGTTCGTTGACAAGTACCCTATGGTGTCCATCGAGGATCCTTTCGACCAGGACGATGTTGCTGCCTGGGCCAACATGGAGAAGCAGATTGGCAGCAAGATCCAGATCGTCGGCGATGACCTTCTTGTGACCAACCCCAAGCGTATCGCCTGGGCTAAGGAGCACGAGGCTTGCAATGCCCTCCTGCTCAAGGTCAACCAAATCGGATCCGTAACCGAGTCCATTGAAGCCGTGAAGCTTGCCCAGTCCTACGGCTGGGGTGTCATGGTCTCCCACAGATCTGGTGAGACTGAAGATACTTTCATCGCTGACCTCGTCGTTGGTCTCGGAACTGGCCAGATAAAGACTGGTGCCCCTTGCAGATCTGAGAGACTTGCTAAGTACAATCAGATCATGAGGATCGAAGAGGAATTGGCCGACAACGGATCTTTCGCCGGTGAGAAATTCAGGAACCCTTCTTTCTAAATTTTTCCAATTTTGAACAAGAACATTTAGACACCGATCAACACTCATAGCAAAGGCAATAGTCTCGGTTAAGATGCATAATAGTCGCTCATGAAAGGGTAATAGTAGCCGCTCTCGGTGATGTGATAATGACCAAAGAAACGGGGTTCATTTTTGGGCTTCGAACATCTGTGCTGAA